CGATGGAAGCCGCAAGTTCCTCGACCCTTTAAAGCGAATCGTCTCTTTAAGTTTCCTCTTTCCTCGACTCGAGCGAACAGTTTAAACTCGACTGGTTCGATATTAATGATTCCATCACGTTTAATCCTGGAATTCTTCGACGCTCGAATCCATGGCGAAGAAATGGCGAAACAAAAAAAATATATACATAGATATATATATATATGGAGGATCGAATTTTTGAATCATATTTTCCGCAGAAGAAAAAATAAAAAATGATGAAATGAATGGCACATTTTTAAATAGCACGATAAAGTTTCTAGACAGCGTAATGAAATTTCGTGAGGATCGTCACGGTGTCTCCCCGTCATTTCGAAACAGTGTGAATCCTGTTCAGAAACTTCTTTAATACTCGCCAGTACAATGTGGCGAGTCGAGAAGACGGTTGAAAGTATGTATTTACTGTCGCAAATTTTCTCGAGTTCGATAATTTCTTCCTTTCTATCTTGAATAGAAGAAACAGGTGCGAAATATTTTTCTTTCTCCATTTCGTATACATGAAAAAATAGGATTTAAAACGCGAGATTCGCTTTTTTTTTTACTTAAAAATTCTTACTTCCGCGGTGAAAATTTGTATTCAACGTTTCATGCAAATTCTTGCGTATTCTCGCCCCACTTGATGCGAAATCTCTGCATAAACGGTAGAGGCATAAGCGTAATTATCTTTCTTTCCGCCCCAGTTGCACGTATGAAACCAAGTTTCGTTTATTTAAATAAGTTTCTCGTGCACGATGCGACGAGCGTAAATAGATAGACAATAATGAACGGCGATAAAACAAAATGGATGGAAGTTTAAGCGTGCACAAAATTTAGAGAGAGACGATCTCGTTACGTCGAATTTTTGTTCCTCGGGAGTCGAGAATTTTAAGGTAAAGAAAAAAAAAGAAAGAGGAGAGAGAGAGAAAATGCATATGCGCGAAGAGGGGAGGAGGAAATTTGCGAGAGGAAAAATCGGATATAAATGGAAAAAGCTTTATTTCTCCCCGGTTGCCGCCGCAATGAAGAACGGTATAATATAATATCGTAGTAAACACAGACTACTCAGCAGTCTGGTTTATGCTCGCCTTTTTTTCACTCCTCCTCCACTCCTCGTCCCTTCCCTTCCTTTCGCCGTTCCTTATTTGCACATCGTATTGTCCTGTAAACTGGAGGAAGAAATATTAACGCTCGGTTGACACCAGTTGCGAACCTGCTTTTTAACAAAGTAACGCTTCCCTCCTCGAGCAAAACCGTATATACAACCGCGTATACACACGTGAATTTTTTTTAACAGGAAGAAAATGTTAAACCGGATACAACGTGTGTAACGTTTTAAGTAGGCACTCGTTGCAGCATCCAATTTAATTTCATACTTCGTGTTTCCTGATATTCTCTCGACGATACATACGTTCTCGATTCGTCTGTTCCCTCGAAATTTAATAATAAACATTTTATATTGCGAGCATTGTTTTTATGATAAAAGATTTTATTTAAATGAATGGATCGAAACGTCAATGCTTTTTCCATTTTTTCATTTCGTGACGTATTTAGGTAACATTGTATTCCACACAGGGTGAACAAGGAATTTTCCTCCGCCTCTTTTATCTGCCTGATTTTTACACCATTTACTTTTACCTCACGCTTTAAAACCGTCTACAACCGCAAGTACCGCATATTTCCGCTCTATTAAACTGAAGGAACGAACGGGAGGAAAATCAAGATATTGGTCTCCGCCGTGAAAAGCGAAATAACAATTTCCGGTTTGCGTGTTGCACAAAATATACGTAGAAAAAATACGCGAAAACTTTACTTTACACGAATATCCAATTAATTAAAAAACCCGCTGATGTATACCTCGATGAGATAGATATCTCGGGACGTGTCCATAATATACATATAAAATTCGTAACTTGGCTTCCAGAGAAAGCAACGGCCAACGCGCGTCCACCCAAGTTACTTCCGGTGGATAAATTTTGCTACCACGCTTGAAACCCAATCTCTCGTCTACCTTTCGAACAAATTCTAAAATTTCGTCACGAACGAGGAATTTAATAAGTCGTGGTTTCAGACTCTTTTCCTTCCACATACGCTTGATTTATTCGTACGTTATTCCCATTCGAGTCGAGAACAATATTTCCTTCCTTCCTTCCTTCCTTAAAAATTAACTTTGGTATGTATGTAATACGAAAAAGTGGGTAGGGAAGGATAATCGGGTGAAGAAACAAGGTAACGCTCGCTCGCGGTTGAGTGGTAAATCACGTTTGCACGACTCCGTTTAACGCGATACGTTTCATTTGGAAAAACCATTGCCGCCCCATTGTTACTTCTCGCCCCGATCTTCGTCGTTGGTTGCGTATTTCACAAGAGGGGAAGGAGAGAATGTACATTCGCTTTGCACACACACGAGGATAAAAGTTCGTCTCGTTGTTGGCCCCAGTTTTCCACGAGTTGCCCTCCCTTCCTTCCTTCCTTCCTCCACGAGAATTCGACTTCGCAAAGCCGTGCTTAACGTAAGCGCGGCCGTATCCGTCTCATCACCCTTTTTAGGCGTTCATATTTTAGCACGTTGGCGAGCTAAACGAGGCGAAGAGAATCACACTCGAGCGGATAAAAGGAAACGACGGGAATCATTCGCTGATATCAACGAACCGATGCTCCTTTCTTCCCTCTCCCCCATAAATGTCGCTTACTAAGGGAAACTTGATACTGGAACGAATATTTTCAACGTGTTTATCATTCAATTTCCGAAAGAATCGACTTTTAAATCCACAATTTCAATCAGCCCTTTTTTTAACTCTTCTATTATTATTAAACGATCAATTTTTCAGAGAAACTTTTCAGGATATAATAAATAGAATGAATAAATCTATATAGTATAAAAATAATCTAAGACAATTCCTGATCACATCGAGTCGCCACTGATGATAAATAATTTTCCCCATTTTCGAGTGTCGAAAACGGGCGTTTCCGAAACAAGCAGAGAAGGATGATCCCCAGCGCGAGATTAATCGCGACGCATAAACACGGGGATAAGGCGGGGTGGGGCGGGGCGAGGACGAAAAACTCGGTGATATCTTGGCCTCTCCTTTCCACGGCTGGGTTACAGCCGGTAACACGGGAAGCAACCGCCGAGTGTATTCATGGAAATCTGTCCATCAGGGAGGGGAGGGGGGAGGGGGGGAGTCTAATGGAATACCACCACGGCGAAAAGTGGCACGAGATATTCTTTAATGCCTTCATAAAATTCAGCCTTCATAATTCCCGGTTTCACCGTCACGTACACGCTTTCGCCTAGCAGCGGGTGCACACACGCGTGCGTGCACACACGCGCAAAAGATTAGAGGCCGACAACCACTCTCTCTCTCTCTCTCTCCGCGAGAAGGAGAGTTGCCCTCCCACGGGCAAATATTCAAACTCTGATGAAACTCTCCGAAATTCTGCTGATCCCTTCAGGGGTCGGTAGTCATTACTAGGTTTACAGTAATAACGTGGCTTACAATAATAAAGCCGGGGCGAAACGAAGTTTATTTCGAGCCGCAAATCTGTTGTTTGATTCCGCGTTGCCTCCCCCCTCCGCTCTAAGTTCTGCCTAATTAGCCCAAGGAACGCAACCGTGTTAATTGCGCCACGGACCATTCCTCCCCTCGTTTGGAAAATGCATCTGGGTAAGTGGCGATGATACGCTCGCTTCGTAACTCTCGGCCCATGCAACCCAACCGACGAGTTTATCTTTCCTTTCGAACGAGAGTTTTTTGTCCTTTCGCTTCTCATTTTGAGGAATACGCGTTAAGCTACTATTTATAGGATTTATCGGGAAGGGGACGGCAGTAGTGGATGCGTGAAATTTCTTTTGAATGTTTATGCAAGAGAATTTTATTTAGGAGATGGAATACGTTCTTTAAGGTTCTATCTATCTGGAATGTTTATGGAAATGTAAGGCAACTTTATTAGGTAGGAGTATTTTATATTTAAAGGATTTTATATTTGTTATTGAAATGTAGAATTTTCTTGGAAGTAATTATATTATGTTTAAGATTCTTTTATTCAAAATTTTGTTATCATCATTTATTATCGAAGAAATGTGTAGAAGACGTGTATAGAATTTCTTGAAAGTTGATTCGCCAAATGGTGAATTTATTTTAAATTTTGTTTTATTAGTTTAAAAAGAATAGATTGAAAGTTGAATGAACAATTGAACGATTTTTCTAAGAGAACATTTTATTCAAAAGCCGTTAAACCGTAAGGGTTTATTCATTCTACGCGAACTTTTCAAAACCTTTTGTGTTTTATGTGTAAAGACTGAATAAACATCAAAATCTCGTTTTCGCATTTTTTCGGGTGGTGAGCGTAGAATATGCATAAAAGTTGCAAAAGTAAATTTCAGGATGAGGAAACGATGAGGATTTATCCATACCTTTTATGTCCTTGCTTAAAATTAATTTTTGAGAATAGTAATATATCATACTTGTTATTCGAACGATTGATATAAATGTTCTCAACTACAATTCGATAACTTCAACGATAACGTGAACTTGCTAGCAATAACCACGTTTATGGAAATGTAATATTACATACGTATATATGTATATATACACGCTTACATGGTACACATAAATTTAACCTCTGTAATTATCGTATAGTGACAAACGAGGTCCCATGTGCATACCATACTCGGATTAAATGCTAACCCCGTGTGTACGAATGAAAATTCAATATTTACTTAACTCGCTCTTACACTCTTCATTGTCTGATCTATGAACTTTGTATAGTTCCTTTAAACGATTTTCCTATTAATCTTGTCGATACGCACGTACTTTAAACTTCGTAATAAAACTCTCGAGGCAAAAAGAAAGAAGAAAAAAGTAATAATAATAATTCTCGAGAATTATCATTCTCGAAATACGTAGGTATATCTGAAAGTTTATTTCTCCGAAGCTATCGCAAAAATTTTTCATAAAATTTTTGTCCGAAAAGGTACTCACTCTGAGAGTCTCCAACTGGGAGCGCACGTACTCGGCACGACTGGCAATGTCGGGGATTGCCACAGGAAACGAACCCATGTACTGTAACGAGAAAAATGTTTCAGCATTGTGTTTAGAACGAATTTTCTTTGAAATTAAGAAAGCATTATTCAAGATTATAATAAATGTTATACATCATACATTGAATATATACTAACTCAACGTTATTTCGTTATTCGAATAAACAGTGAATTTTAATTGGATAACTTTTATTGAATAAAATTAATAAGACGAATAAATTATTCCTTTCTCGTCCAAATTAAGTCTCGTGTCGCTAGAGGAATAGCAATGATACAACATTTTGTATTTCGTGTTACCAATTATCTATAAAATCAATAGCTCTTTGAGAAATCCAAGAATTTGTCCGTTTCATCCTGTTATATGTCGATTAATAATAGTACTTTTAATATTAATTTACCAAATTAGTAAGCTTTGACTATTATCACCGTGACACCATGGTGTTGCAAGTGATTGCATTCTAAAATGGAATAGGAATTTGGTTGGAAGATTAAGGTTGCGGAATTATATTTGATTCCCCTGGCTGAAGGTAGTCGATAGGTGTCCGAATTGTTGGGCCAGTTCCTCGAGAATGATACACAAGGGTCAATTGTACGCCACGAATTTACTTGAAACTACAACGTTTCAACGGAATAGTTGACGCTCCAGGATGATCTAATTACCGAGTTTCGAGAATGGTGTTTCGGTGGCTGGCGTTCGGAACAACTTGAAAATACTTTCGTAATAAATGGGGAAACACGAATAACTTTAATTCAAAATATCTCGAGGAAACTTTTGGCACAAGGAAGAAACTGTGTTGGACCATTCTTTTTATTCTCCATGATTTTCATAGAAAGTGAGATTGAAAAAAAACGCCATGATTTTGACATTAAAAAAGAAGAAAGGCATCGCATGATGGTAAAATATCGAGAGAAAGAAGTTTTTGCGACAACTCTGATCTCTTCTTTTAAAAAGAAACGAAAAAGGCATAGCCTTTGATTTGTGCAGCGATAATAAAAATGCATAAATATATATAGTAATTTTAACACGATAAATTTGCAAATATAATAACACGACGTATTAAAAATAAGATAAGATCAATAGTCGTCGAAAGCCTGGAGAAGTACTTTCCGCCCAATTTCTGCCAAATATATCTTCGAATTTGGCAGAGGATTTAAGAGGTCGAATTAACGAGGAAAACATGAGGAGGGTCGGAACACCGGAAAAGTTCCAAACAATTTCGCGTTTCCTCCGAAAGCGATCCCTCTTCCTTGGCCAAACACGTCGTCGGATGATTATATGGTCGATAAAAATAGCGACCCTCCTTATAAGGACAATAAATAAAACCAGCCGAAGGGCTAAATTCCAAGAACGCAATATAGAACGATACTTAAATGCAATTACGTTATCTGTATTGTTTGTTCTCGATAATACACGTGTCGTTTTTATATATCGCCACATCCATTCCCGATATTATACGTAAATTTACACATCGAAGCAGAAAAAAATTAACAAAAGAATGATCGTTACGTTGAAAAATTAATTCCCATTCATACGATAAAAATATATAAAAAAAAAAAATATATCTCTTTTTCCATCCAACTCGAATAAAATAATCCGATGAACATAAATCGGAATTGTTAATTTCCGTTCTTGAAACAAAAAAAAAAAAAAAAAAAAAAAAAAAAACGAAAACGATCGAAATTACGATACTCGTAATATAAATACTTTTCACGATATTACCTCAATATTATTCTATTCACGATAAATTCACTCGAAATTTAAATTTTAAAACATAATATCCGTCGTAAAATATTTTTGTGTGCTATATATATACATATATAAAACGGATTAATACTTTTTCGCATGCGCTTATTATCTCGATCACGGAATCATCGAATGACGTAGAAAAATAAATTGGAACACAGATCGAGGAATCTGTGCGTTTAAAAAGAAGGGAATTACACGGTTCGAGGATTTAATTGTAACGCGTGCAGTCCGTTATTATAATTCACCATATCCCCACCACGTCTGGAAAATCTTTTCTCCGTACACAGGCGTTTCGATTCGGATACTCTCGTGCCGGAAAATAATCCCCGCTTTAATCCTCCCGGATGATTCTCATTGTTGTTTCGAATCGAACTTCTCTCCGGGAGGATCTCCTCTCGGAATCACAGGGATTTTCCAGAAATATTATGCTCCTCCATCCCCTTCTCCCCTTCTCAACACACACACACACACACACACACACACATACACACAGCGGAAAGGAGCTCTGAAAATTTCGTGCAACATCGATACCCGTTCGATGCACAAATAATAACAATAATAATAACAACAATAGTAATAATAATATTAATATTAATAATAATAATAATCATGCTCGATACGAGCACGAAACACAGGCTATCAGAATATATATAGAAAATCATATTTTCGTTATATTAGCCCTGCGTGTAGTCATTGAATAGTCACTGAATATTGGGAATATTGAATATCGAGAGAGAATATTTTTTTGATGAACGCCAGGGAGGAGGAAAATAATTAACGGGTGTAATTTCGAAGTTGAAAAGATTGATAATTACAAATAAAAAATACGATACAGAACTTTCGATAGAAATTCATTTGTTTCGATCCGCGAATAATTTTAAAAAATTCCCGTTAAATTTGTTATTGTCTTCTTCTCCTTTTGTTTGCAAAAAATTTTCTTCAATAATCGAAAAATAATGGAAAACGTTACGTTTGAAAATTGCAAATCTATCCGAGTCCATCCATTGTTTCCACTTTTTTCATTCATGCATTCGCGCGCATTCATCCCATTGATACACATTCCCCTGTGTTGATAAAAGTTTTTACAACGAAGAAACGGTCGCGTTGTATCGGATCGAAACCGCAAGTGGTTTTTTCGAGAGAGTTGCCATTTAAGCGGTTGGTGGCGGATACGAGAAACGATCCTTGGCAATCGTGGAATCCGAGTTTTCACGAATTTTATCCAGTCTCGTTGAACAGTTATTACGATTATTAGACCAGAAATATTCTAGAAATTTTTATTTTATTCTATATTTTTATTTCCCTCAAGCGAAGCGAATAGTTGTTCTATTCGATGCCGAGAGATAATTTCTTTCCGTTGATATTTTTACAAAATTTTGACATTACAGCGATAATTTTATGCTTAGAAAAAAAAAAATGAAAGAAATCGTTCATAATTAACATAGAACGTACGATTTTAATTAATCTTTCGAAACTCTGATCTCTCTCTCTCTCTCTCTCTCTCTCTCTCTATGTAATTCTAAGATTCGATTCTAATTTTCCACGAATATAATTGCTTCTGAAGAAAGATAAAGAAGAATCCGTTCTTGGTACCGAACAAAGATTAATCGTGATAAATCAGGGGCGGCATTCTTATTGCGGCAATCAAAGTTGAGATGATGATACGACCGGAATTATTAAGTGGTGAGGTCATTTCTTTGTCTCGCGATATCTCCTCTTCAAATTATGAACCCCTCCCCTTTCTAGCAAGACAACAACAATAATTACTCTTTTTCTTAGGATACGGCCAATTATACACGGTGAAGAGGTTACAGGAACCAGGCGTGGCTAGGTCACAACTAGAATATCGCACAGGAATCTGTTTACTTTCGTCTAAAAATTATCATACTTTTCCTTTCTCTCGGCTCTTAGCCCGCGAACATCCGTGCACACATCCGTCACCTCGAGAGAATTTTTACAGAGATATTTTCAGTTATTAACCGATTCGTCATACTACTGATTTATTACGTGTTTTACTACAGGCAATGAAAGGCGATTGTCAATAAGATACGCAGCCGCGTATCAGGCAACGTAAAGTTATTTTCTTTATCCGTGTAATGAAGATGCAGCGCTTCAATCGCGTGGATGAAAATAGGCTTTGCGTTTCAAGACACGTTCAATTGCCGACAAATTTTATGCCCACGCACCCTGACGTGATGCCTGAAAATCATTTCGTTTCAATAATAATTAGAAGTGTTTAAAATAGAGACAATTTTTTCTTTTTCTATCGAACAATCAAAGATTGTTGTACGAACTTTAAAAAAAAAAAAAAGGAGAAAACGCGTCTAAAAAAAAAAAAGTATTCCTTTCGATCGATATTTCTGTATGTTACGCGATAATTTAATTTCTAAAATCGATAGAGGAGAAATTTCCAATTGCAAGAGAAAATAAAGTGGAATAGTTTAATTACAGGCTGCGAGAAGATTTATTACTCTTCCTTTAACTTTATCGCGGTAAATTGCTCTCGGAGCTAGAGCTCGTTACGCTGTATTCGCGTGTCATAATCTTTATCATATCGAAAAATTTACTTCGTATTTATGCTATAAATTATTCTATACACGCGTGATTACACATTGCGCTCAACGATAAAAACAACCAATTTTTTAAGAAAAAGAAAGAAAAGGAGAGAGAGAGAAGAAAAAAAAAGGAATCAGAAACAGAATGCACTTCGAGTCCTTATATCGCATATTTGTAACGCGATACTTCATAGAAAACATTTATTAAAAATTACATTGGAAAGGATTTAATCATTAATCAATGTATACACGGGTGTATGTCTCAAGTACAACAGCCTTAAGGGTTGCCATAGATTTATAGGCAATTTTCTTTCAACTTGTGATAGGTTTCTGCATACAAGTTTGACAAATAGATGTAGCCGAATAATAAAAAAGTAGAAACAATGACAGTACGAAGTGGATGGATAGCGAGGGGGGGGGGAGAGGTAAATAGGGATATATGCAGACGCTGTTAGAGATAGAGATAAGAAAGAGAACGAAAGAAATTATGAATGGAAAAAGAAAGTGCACGATAGAAGTTGCTATAGAACGCAAAAAAAAGTTGTAGTATGTGAGTTATGGCATACTCGGGATATCTACGTATCGCACATTATGAATCATGTATGTTCTTTAGATTCCTAAACATGTACGCTTCTATCCCATCCTATCCTTTATTATTTCAATTTCTTCTGGCTAAAATTCACGAACGAGTGAATCGATCAATGATGATTTCCACCTCTC